TACACAATATCCGGCGATCTGATTGGTTTTTATACAACCAGGTGATATCACCTAGGGTGAAAATTAGCAATAGTCTTTAAAAAAATTTTATACAAAATTTTAAATATTAAGCAAATATATGTTCTATACTTGATAAACTAAAAATTATTACAAACTCTTTGCTATATATATTAGTCTTTGTAGCATGGTACAGTCGACCCTGTTAATATCAGCCTCGTTAATACAGCCTAAGCCACAAATCAAATTTTTTATAAATTTTAATATATCAAAATTTCCTCATATATATCAACTTTAATAAATCTCGTTAATATCACTATCAACATAATTTAAAACCAATCCAAATGGGTTGATATAAACGAGGGTAGATTGAATTTCGAAGCCAATTTTATCTCATACAAAATTTTTTTTTCAAATTATTGTATATTAGATTGTACGTAATATTTTCAAAACCTACAATATCAGTAGAATAGTGCAAAAGATGTAGAAACGCGATTCGTTATCCGTTTTCCTATCTAAAACTTAGCGGGCATCCGAATACTTGGATACTATTATTGTGAAATTTAAACCTTTTGATTCACAAACTTGAGCTACATAGTACACCGTAATTCTTAGTAAAATACTAATAATATGCACATAATTTATCTATAATTTTAATTACGTAATAAAATCATATAGTGCACAAAATTTAAAATTATTCACATAAATTATGTATACACTGTCTCTAAAGGGTACGTATCAATTTCCTGATGTCATTTCCTTTTAACCGACATCACGCCGCGTGAAAATTCACTAAAAAAATTATTGTTATAACTGCAACGTGACAAAATGCTAAATTATCACCTTGTGATGTAGGTTAGATGGTTGTCGGGAGCGACAAAGGACGTATTTCTGTCGATATGATGTCATCTACATACGAATATAAAATTATGGTGTCATTGTATTTAACTTTAATGAGTATAAATAAATCACCTTTATAGTTGCATCAGCAAGCTCTTGTTAAAATACGTAAGTACTAATTAATTATCAATATTGATAGTATTGATGGTATTGATGATTAGTGCAGTAATTATTAAACACGTTATCTTAAATTATCCGTTATTTGTCTTTGTTTTATGAAAAATCTACAAAATTTTTTCGTATAGATCAAATAGCCTTTAATGTCGGACTCGGAAATAGAACCATATGTTCAACAACCAGTCTATAAATTTCTTGGCACGAGGACTCCTTTGAGATCCGAAATTTGTCCTTCACCAGTTGTTGCAGGTTTACGAGAAAAATACGAGGGATTAAGAGAATCATTAAATCCGCTTCACGAGGTTGCCAAAAAGGCAGCTTACATTGATACATTGATCTATTTGTTGAGAGAACAAGGATTCGAATTTCATCAAAGTCTTGATGGTGAGCATCAACTTATTGATTTAATTGGGAAAAAAGAGGTCAAGATTAAGGTAATTGACGATTCGAACGCTGAAGACGAAATCAACGGAAGTGTCAACGAAGATCATGATTCTGATGAGATTGATGAAACACGTAATACGATCAAACTATCGCCATCGAATCGAAAACGTATGGTGCATTACGATACTACACATAAAAGAGAAAATACTGGCAAGATGATTAATAATCATAAGAAAATAGCGGTTAGAAAAGACGAAAAAATCACTTCTTTGGGTCACCATTATTCGGTTGAATCGCCTACTGTAAAAACTAATGCTATCAAGAGGGCAATTACTACAAACTACAATGGTAACATTCGTCGTCCTTATTCTCAAATTAGAACATCAAGTACTCGAAAAGATATTTCTCAGCATGACAGTAGTTCTAGAGAACCTATGAACAGCATGAAATCTCCAAGTAAAAAATTGAATAAGACTTCTGCGCTTTATGTACCACCTGATTTAGCTTATGTAGAAGTGCCACGCATTTCCGCAAAGCTTAAAGCGATGTATATCAAAGTTTAAATAATGAGATATTTGGAATTAATTGCATTTTTGAGTTTGAGATACTTAAATAGTGCTTGCATAATGTATATTTTCAGATATTCACAAGTTGTTTTGCCTATAACCTTTGAAAATAATTTATAATAAAAATCATCCTTGCATTAACAATTATGTGCAGTAATTTAATATATTTGAGTTGTAGTCAAAAGAAATAAAGTCTGATTAGATACTGATAATTTCAAATTTTAAATAACTTGAATTTTAGGCTTTTGAATATAGATTTGAGAGATCTAGTTGGACCCTTCATTCACACATTTTGCATTAACTGTTTAGGGTTAACGAAAGAATTGAACAATTGAAAGAACATAAAAATTAGAATATGATAATATTTTCCTTCGTAAATACGATATTTACAAAATATATATTCATTGTTAATTAATATACAGAATTCTGCTGCAATTAACATGCTCAAGTACTTTGCAAAAATCTTACATTTTTACGCTATTATTAAAATATTCTGGTTTATTGTAAATTATTAAGATTGTAGGGAATTTCGTAGTAAATCACAAATATAATTTCTTACTAAGATTAACAAATAATTAGACGAGGTTTTATTAACCTAACGAATCATTTGTTAGCACTAGTAAGGAACTAGATTTGTGATTTACTACGAAAGTTTCCTCTTGGAGGCCTATAGTCCTAATAATTTACACGAAATATAAATATTTTAAAAATGCAAGTTTTTACGAAGTAGATGTCCTGGTTTTCAAGATAAAAATTGCTCATTCTAATATAAAATGTAACATCAACTACATTACCATTAGACTGATTAGATTCAAATCAAGGAGCTTATACTGTATAGGCATTGCTTTGAAAACAAAGAATCCTTTAATTAAAAGTAACATGTACAACACATAAGAGTGCTTATAGGCGTCACGTATCTAATATCGATACATATACTTATTCTGCATTATCTTACATCATATCCTTATTTTCTTTGAACAGAACAAATCATTTTGTAAATTAGTTTTTGTACCAAATGGTTAATAGCTCTAATTTTGTTAAAGATCAATTACAGACACTTATGACACCTTTATTTAATACTTTTTCTTTTTTATATCTACTTGTACTTAGTCTGCTTCTATATAATCATCTTCTAAAAGAATTTTTGATGTTGATTTTTTAAGAAAGCTATTAGTATAAAAGACCAATTCTTCTTTTATTTCAACTAATTTTTTTGATTCTTAGTAATAAGATTTTTTTTAAAGATTGACTTATTTCTTGTTTTTTAATTAGTTTTATATATAAGACATCATATATTATGTTTTTGATTGTTTTTTTACTTGTCAGACTTACTTAGTTCATTAGTTTGTAGTTTATTTACATTTTTTGATCCAACTCAAATAATGATTCTTTTTTTTTTTTACAAATATTAACAAAAAGGTTTAAATTTCTTCTTTATTATTCTATTTCTTGTAACTTTTTTGCTTATTCAAATAGTTTAGTTTGCAATTATTATATTTTTTTAAAATTGATTTGTCATATTTTTCTAAATTTTTAGTTATATATATATATATATATATATTTCTTTTATGTTAAAGTTTATGTCTTTGAAAAGTGATTTTTATTTAAATATAAAATATGAGTATCTTCAAAGGTTCTTTTATATAAGAGGTTACAGCTAGTCATACATGTATTTTTAGTGTTTAATTTAAATAGTTTGCTTATACATTATTATATAAGTTTTATACTAATATTATACTTGCAAGCCAATTACAAGTTTTGCTTATTTAAATTTTTTGTATATGCAATCTAACCTATATTATAGAAGCATATTCAAAGCATAGCCTATCTAGATTTTTAATTTTTATTGATATTTTTAGAATTACTTTATTCTTAACAGAAAACTTACTAGAGTTTGTCATATCTTATATATAATTAATTTAGTTTTATACAATATGTTATAATTATCTAATACTTGCAATTATAAGAGTTATTTGTTTAACTGCTACATTATACTATTTTTATCTTTGTAATGTTTACTAAGATCCTAGTACCTATTTTTTAATATTTTTATTATCTTTTACTAATTACTACTTAGAATTAACAAACTCTAATTAGACTATTACTCTAGATAACCTGATATAATATACTTCTATATTTTTTTTTTTTAGTAAATTTAGTAGTTTAGTTAGTTATATGTTTTTTATATATATTTTATATTTAGTTCATTTGGTTTGTTTTTAAAGATAGTTTGTAGGTTTCAATTAGTTCAATAATGTTATCAAAAGTTTATATTATTTTTCTATTTAGAATTTTCTAAATAGAATTCTGTTGATTTAGTTTCTTATTCTTTTATACTTGGGAGTGAGTCAGTAGAAAAGAGACAAATTTTTTCTAAGTAAAAGTTTTCTTGACTTTAAGCTTAAATATCTTAAAAACTA